TCACCTTTTGACTTACATTAATGCATTAATTCCTAAAGAAACACTGAGGGGGTGTATTTTTGAGATGAGGGAGAGGTACAAAGAGATTAGTGTTTTATGTCAGTCCACAAGTCCAGGAAATGGCAGAGCCAGGATTAGAACCCAAGAACTAAGCCCATACTCTTAACCTCGACACCACTTGGCAACTATATGGAGGATGGGTTTTAAAGTGAGAAGACTGGAGGAAAAGATGATCTGTTTGGTAGCTACAAGGCCTCAATTAAAGCATATGCGCGCGCGTGCGTGCGCACGCACGCACACACACACACACACACACACAGGATAATGACCAGGACTATATAGACTCTACACTAAGGCTCCCCAGGTTAAACTAAAATTTCAGTTTTACCAACTTACCAGCAATATGATGATGTGCCTCAGTTTCGTACCTGTAAACTAGGAATAGCAACATTATCCAGCTGACAGGATTCTTTGAGGATTAAATGAGATCCTACACAGAAGTACACTTCGCCTAGTGGCTAGGAGTCAGTGCTCAACGTTTGCCCCTATTAGAAAGTTACAAATTGGAAGAGACAGGAATGGACCTGTTTAACTAAGCAGGTACAATTAGCAGGGTTTGGGGATTTGGGCCCAGGGGGAGGGGGATATGGAAAGGGAGGCAGAGGGGAGTTTTTATTGCTGGCTAGATTACTAGCTAGCTTGGAAGGCCACCAACAATGAATAAGATGGCTTATGGGAAACAGGACTTCCTTTCCTTTTGAACATTTTAAGGTGTTAATGGAATATCTATGCACAAATGCCCAGTTTAAATGGTTGAACAGGAGTATGAAGCTTAGGGAAGTAATCTAGGGCAGTCATTAACAATCAGATGACAAGGGAAGTGTTAGAACACTGGGCCAAGAATATCATTCTGAAAAATATGCACATTTATTTTGGGTTAATATATAAAATATATTTAAATGACATGAAAATATAGAAAATGTCAGTTTTAGCAGTGTGGGAATGAAGAATGACTTACGACAAATATAGTATATTCACATTATTCAGAAAAATTAGGGTACTATTTGCACATTCTGATCCCAAATCATATATATCAAATAAAGACAAGTGTCTTCTACGCATTCAGTTTTGAGTCAACTAGATTTTACTAAGTTATGCTCGGGAAGAACAAAATAAATTTGACATCAACAAATAATGTTAAGTTTTTTGAAAGGTTATTTTCTGTAACCACTTTGTTTAAAGCATAATAAAAAGGCACTTAAGGGGCGCCTGGGTGGCTTAGTTGGTTAAGCATCTGACTTTTGCTTAGGTCATGATCTCGCGGTTCATGGGTTCGAGCCCCGCGTTGGGCTCTGTGCTGACTGCCAGCTCAGAGCCTGGAGCCTGTTTCAGAGTCTGTGACTCCCTCTCTCTCTGACCCTCTCTCTCTCCCCTGCTCACGCTGTCTCTCTCTCTCTCTCCTAGAAATAAATAAAACATTAAAAAAATTTTTTTTAAAAAAAGATGTAGTTTATCTATACAACGGAATACTACATGGCAATGAGAAAGAATGAAATCTGGCCATGTGTAGCAACATGGATGGAACTTGAGGGTGTTATGCTGAGCGAAATAACTCAGGCAGAGAAGGACAAATACCATATGTTTGCACGTATAGNCTGTGCTGACTGCCAGCTCAGAGCCTGGAGCCTGTTTCAGAGTCTGTGACTCCCTCTCTCTCTGACCCTCCCCTGCTCACGCTGTCTCTCTCTCTCTCTCCTAGAAATAAATAAAACATTAAAAAAAATAAAATAAAAAGGCACTTAATCTCAAGACTGTCCCAATCTTTATTCCCAGTAAAAATAAATACATGTTAATGATCTGATGTCAGGATGTCAACTGGTCAAATTTCTTTTGGTATTTCCCCCTAATATCCAGGGTTTCACTGATACAATAAAAAAGCTAACGTAAGTCTGCTCTATCCATTTAGTAGTTTCAAGTAATTTTACTTGTCCTATTACTTGTGGAATCAAGCCTTCTCTGAAAACTAAATACGAGACTGGAATTTAAGTTTATCATTAGTCAAAATATCACAAAAGCCATGAGCAGCCACCAAATCCAGCAATTCTAGCACAGAACACCTGTGATACATCTAGGAACCTACAAACTTCCTATTTTGTCCTTCACAGGCACGTAGCTGCTAATGCAGTTATTCTGGCATTTCAAATATGGAAAGATGAAATATTTTGAGTATCACTTGAGGGAGGGAGGGGGTAATAATAGGGTATGAGCATTTCTCTTCCGTGTTGTTGGCATTTTTGGCAGCACAGTATTTTTTTAGCTTGTGGACTTGTGTTCCCCTCATAAGTGAACATTTCATGTTCCTGCTCTCGCATCACTCCACCCCAATACCAGCAGCATGCTCCAATCGCTGTGACAAGCACATAATGGCCACAAATACCCCATAGGGTAGCAATGTTGCCCTGGGTTGAACACTACTATTGTAAAAGGTTGGCTCAGTTGATTAAAATGCTGCTTTTAGCAGTTTGGATGTCTTTGTTGCAATACCAAATACTGAGAACACAACAAATGCTTATTTAAGAAAATCAATCTCCAATACTATGACAGGGAGTAGAGGGGATTCAGAGAATCCTAAAAGGTCAGAGAACTCTTAGAACTCTAGTCCAACCATCCCTAGTTTACAGATGGGAAAAATGTACAAAAGAAGTTAAGCAACAGACCATGGCTAGGAAATGGCTAAGCCAGAATTAAAACCCTAAATTCTAGTCCAGTACTTCTTCCATGACACCATGCCCCCAACTCACACAACCCACACTTGGAGCTTTTAAGCTCAGCAGCTTCAATTATGTCCAAAGGAACAAAATTCCTTTAAACGTTCACACATGAAGACAACCCCTCTCCCCTCCAAGCCCACCCAAAGTCACTCAGATTCAATGGGGTCTAAGGATTCATTTAATAATGCTTTGAGATCTCTATTCCTGGTTTAATGATTCACCTTCAAATTAAAACTTGGCATTTTTATTGATCAATCCAACCAAGTAAGAATTTTACAAATGTAAAATATATACCAGTTCCTACATTAGTGTATCCTGAGGAAGTGATGAATAGCTCCTGCTGCCATTTTATAAAGGTAGGAACTTAATAATTCAAATTCAAATTTTGTCAGCGTATAATAAATATATTGGTGTAGTTTTTAAACAGTAAGTTGTAGACAACTGGCACCATGAAAAAGCAGCATATTTAAGTGTAAGATGATCTTCCTCATAAATATTAGGAAAAAAGGAAATCTTCACTACAATGATAAACAAGTAAAATATCCAACAAATACATACTAATTTCTCATGACCTCAAAATCGGGGGTGGTGGGGAGGGGCACATATTTCATGCAAGATACTCTAAATATTAACACTGAATACTACATACTCATATTGCTTATACATAATGATGTAATTTCACTACTTTTAGTAAATTGTTTGGCACTTTTTGTCTCATATTTACACCTAAATTTACACTATTAATTATAAGCCCCATTTGTCACACCTGCTTATTTTCTTTTTAGAATGGTAAAGGTATAGTAAAGAAACCAAGTATCTGCTCATAAACATAAAAACTTGACATTTTCTTTTTGTTACACTTAGCTACTGTTTTAAAGACTGGAATCCTGGATGGCCAGTTCCCTTTGGATGATCTAACCACTGAATCTAGTTTGCTTTCTTACAAATGCATGTGTGAGCAAAGATGGACCCAGTGGGGGGTGCCTGGGTGGCTCTATCGGTTAAGTATCCAACCTCAGCTCAGGTCATGATCTCATAGTTTGTGGGTTCAAGCCCTGTGTTGGGCTCTGTGCTGACAGCTCAGAGCCTGGAGTCTGCTTTGGATTCTGTGTCTCCTCTGCCCCTTCCCTATTTGTGCTCTGTCTCTCAAAAATAAACAAATATTTGATGAGCCTGGGTGGCTTAATTGGTTGAACGTCCAACTTCAGCTCAGGTCATGATCTCACAGTTTGTGAGTTCAAGTCCCACGTTGGGCTCTGTGCTGACAGCTCAGAGCCTGGAGCCTGCTTTGGATTCTGTGTCTACGTCTCTCTCTGCCCTTCCCCAACTCGTGCTCTGTCTCTCTCAAAAATTAATAAATGTAAAAAAATTGTTTTAAATATTAAAAAAAAAGATGGACCCAATGATATATTACTGATCCACCTCCAAAAAGCAAACTTATCAAAATAGCCGTGATTCTCAACAAAGGACAAAGCCCACTAACTCTTAGTTCCCAGGGAGAATCTCAGATCTCAGTCTTAGTTCACCTATGTAATTGAAGGTAGGAGGCAGAAAGAGGGTGGCAATTCTGATGTCTCCCTGTACCCACCACCTTCACATCACGAAGAGTGGGGACTGCATACTCAACTGAAGGAAACACCTCAAAATGTTACTGCAGAAACAAAACCGACAGGATCACTGTCATACTAACACAGTATTGAGTCTCAGATACACTTCTCCTCTTTTGCCTCTTGACAGGGTGGATGCAGGAGCAACTGGAACATGAACATCCATATCAGATGAAGGAAATAACAGTGGCGCTCCCATTTTGGAAGGCTTTTCTCAGATATCCCACCACTGCCTCTTAAAACTAAAGAATTCTAATTACTAACTTACTCCCATAAGTGAAAAACAAAATTTCCTAGCAGGAAAACAGCTAGCTACAGCTGGGGCTAAACCCTCAGAGCTGCTAACACCCCATTTAGGATTCTCCCATAGTTTACATTCAACATCATTATACAGACTGGGGACTTGGGGGCAGGTAGGGCAGGACACCAACAGCCTGGACTCATGCAAAAGAACAGAAGGGAAACCTGGATACTAATGTTTCTGCCAATACCATAACATCTCCCAGGACTTGGAAATGACCAGCTAGTTTTACCTCAGTCTAACCATTAGCTCTGCAGAACCTGTGACCCTGACACACAGAAGGAAGATGAAGGAGAAAGTCAATTACAGATTTCACAAATATCTAGTACATCAGTCTGTAATTTTTAATTAAACTATCAAAGACACCGCACCTTTTAAGTCTTTGAGTTTAACAACGTTTAACAGTGGCTTTATTAGGTGAACGCTTGAAAGCATTCAACATGAAATTCAATTTACTTCACATTAATGTTTGCAAATACATTAGCAATTCTTAAATATTTCAAATCAACCAACTTAAGTATAGAAGGCTTGCTTATAGGTCTTCTGAGGTGACAAGACGACTGAAAGGAGCCTAGGACTTAAGTCCAGATCTCTAACCAACAATCACCATGTCATCACTGGTGAACTCATATGAGGGAACTTCAAGATTGAGAGGCGCAGGGCCCTTCCTGATCCTGCCAGAAGCATCATAGTGTGACCCATGGCAAGGGCAGTAATAACCACCAAAATCTCCTGCATTTGCAATGGGTACACAACCAAGATGAGTGCAAACACCTATCAGGATAATCCATTCAGGTTTCTTTACTCGATCTAAATCATGCTGTGGGTCCCTCAACTGGGAGACTTCAACTGCAGCTTCCTGCTCAATTTCCTTCTTGGTTCTATGACGCACAAACAGTGGTTTTCCTCTCCATTTGAAAGCCATATTCTTGCCTTCTGGTATATCGGATAACTTGATTTCGATTTTTGACATGGCCAACACATCAGCAGAAGCACTCATGCTGGAAACAAACTGGGAGACGACATTCTTGGCAGCATATGCAACACCTATACTAGTTGTTGCAGTTATCAAATAGGAGAAACCTTTTCTAGCCTCACTGCTCTCTTTTGAAGACTTTGTACCATCTAACACTTCGGTGCGTCGATAGTCAGAGAAGTCAGGCACTCTGATGTCTGTGTGGGAATAACGAACAGAAGCAGGGACTGCAAGATAAACAGAGTTAAAAAAAACAATTAGATGAGTATCCTGAAAGAAGTATATATCAGGAAATAACCTTTGTGAATTCAAAGCAAAAATCAAGTTATAAAAATGTGAAATATGGCACTAATCTCAGAAATGGTCAAGTTGGCAGTGCCAGTATAGAAAATACTGAAAAAGAAATGAAGTCAATCACAACCTGTCATACTGGTATGAAATCACAGGATAATATGCGTAAACTGAGTTCTTCCTGATTGAATGCTGTTGATTCAGGATTCCTAACAATTTAGTATATCAAATCTAAAAAGTTAAGTGGTACTATAAACAGCAATATTTTAAAATCCCCAAAATTCAACATGCCAAGACACACAATTATGTTAACTACCTCTCATTCTCTGGATTACAAGGGACCATAAAACTCATCAAGTATACCAAATAAGTTGATTTGTGGGGTTCCTGGGTGGCTCAGTCAGTTAAGCATCTGACTCCTGATTTCAGGAGCCTGCTTGAGATTCTAGCTCTCCCTCTCTTTGCCCCTCCCCCACTCATGGTCTCTCTATGTTGCAGGCAGGTGAAATAAACATTAAAAATAGTTGACTTGTCGGGGCGCCTGGGTGGCTTAGTCGGTTAAGCATCTGACTTTCGCTTAGGTCATGATCTCGCGGTTCATGGGTTCGAGCCCCGCGTCGGCCTCTGTGCTGACAGCCAGCTCAGAGCCTGGAGCCTGTTTCAGAGTCTGTGTCTCCCTCTCTCTCTGACCCTCCCCTGCTCGCGCTGTCTCTCTCTCTCCTAGAAATAAATAAAACATTAAAAAAATTAAAAAAAAAATAGTTGACTTGTTATCTTAATCAAATGTTTATTTACTTACTCTCTGAAAGTTCAGTAGAACTGCTAAAAATTCATAAAATATTTATTACCATAAACGTTCTGTGAACTGTTACTATAACTTTAGTTACAGAAAATTTAGAGATTTTCTATTTTAGCTGGAGTATAAATCAATACTATAACTTCAAGTAAAGTCAGAAAATATACAACTCTCAAATGAAAATCTCCAAAAGAACCAATTATTTCAATTTAGTACAGGATAAAAGAGCAAATTTTCATATACCCACCTCTTCAGTGAAGGGCAGTAATTCTATAAGAGTACAGGCATTATCTTTCTTTTTCAGTGCTGTGGGTTTCTCAACTGAGACACTACTACTGCAGGATGGCCAGATCTTTTTATCAAATGAATGTTAAAAAAATAGTTACTATTTAAGTAGTGCTTTGGATGTACTGATTATGTCCTTTTATCCCATACCATTTAAAAATAACTGACAAAAAATTAACTTACTGGCATCACTTTTAAGCATGTTTCAGGAAGCAAATCTCTTTACAAATTATATATGCATTTTAGGGAATTTGCCACAGAGTTTTTCTAAAAGTTGTCCTTTTTAGAAAAGGGACATACAAATTCCCCACTTAAAAACTGTGCTGTTTCAAAAAGAAAAACATACTTATAAAATGCATTTTCATGTAAGTTGCAATTTTACTTCCGCTACTAGGCTATCTCATCCTAATATATTTCCTGGAGCATTACAATAAATAATACAACTACTTTTCACACAGTTCTCAAGGTCAGTAACAATGGAAGCCATAAGTACAATTCACTCTTGAACATGGAGATTAGGGGCACTGATCCCTCATGCAGTTGAAAATCTTGTTATCTTTTGACTCTCCCTTAACAGTTTTGTTAAAGTTTTGTGTTGCCTGTGAGCCTTACCCGTAACATAGTCAACTAATACATATGTTGCATGTTATATATATATATATGTATATATATATATATATACCATATACTGCATTCTTATAATAAAGCAAGCTAGGGAAAATATTAAGAAAATCACAAAAAATACATTTGCAGCACTGTACCATATTTATAAAAAAAAAAATGCACGCATAAGTGGACCTGCACAGTTCAAATCCATGTTGTTCAAGGGTCAACAGTATTCCCAAATCACTGTTGGAAACCTATCAAAATCACTCTGTACTTTCCTGGGACCAGGACAAGGGTAGTGACTACTTGATATTTACAACTATGGCAAAGTGACATTACATCATATATTACCGTACCTCTACCTAATGCCAACCCATCAGTGTAGACTGGGGTTTGGGACCAAGTTATGAATTACTTTCCTTTGAAATTCTCTGGAATTACAAAGGAAAATGTGTACCAATACCTAAAAGACGAAGGAACCAAAGTCCATACGTCTACATTAAAAACAGTATCTACAACACTTGACCATAAAACAAGTATACAAGCAAATGTACAGGAACATTAAATAGAATGATTTTAACATTCTCATTCAGAGATTTGGTGATGAAAGGAATCCAGCTGTCTACTCCATTCTATCTACCTTACATTTTATATTAAGTGTATATACATATATATAAATAAGTAATACATATATATAAATATATATCAGAACCTTATGGTTCTGTATGATTTACCAGTTTTTGGGAAAGTCAGGTAAGCCTCTAACTTTTAGGAGAAACTCTCTAGTCATTAGACAAATTCCAAAGATGCTTTTTGCATTTGCTACTGAGATTTTGTCCTCCCTTATTGTTTCTCACCTCGAGACCCAAAGAATAGGCTTGGATGGCTAGTGTTCATGCCCTGAACAGTGTCTCCAAAACCCACTGGTGCACCCAAACAACAAAAATCGTTATTTTATTCACTCACAAATATTCTGTACTACCTGTATGTGAAATCTGAGGTCTTAGGAAACAAAAAATAGATTCTTCTCTATGTCCTCAAGCTCAAGGTCAGAGGACTCACCAGGAAAATGCAATAGTACAGTGTTATGTACCATAAAAATAAAAGAATCAGTAAATATAAAATTTTATTGACCTGACCCTGAACTGAGATTGACTTGGTAAGATGGAAATGCGGAAAATTGAGTGGAAGGATTATTTTAAAGCAAAGAGAACAGGGTGACTGAAGGAAGACTAAAGAGAGTGGGGTAACTTAGCTTGTAGGGCAAATGTCACACTGTCAATGGGGCCAGAAGGTGACACAATGAAGTGGTTCTGGTGAGAACTGTGATGAACTGGAAGAGTCATTGCTCCAACGAAGAGGACAGCCAGTGCACAGCACACTAGACTTTTCCCATGTTGAAACGAGTTCAGTGTTGCCAAATTCCAACATTTTAAAACATGCAAGAAATCCTCCTTTTAAGACTATGCAGGTTGGACACACTACAGGTACAATGGCACACAGATTGCCATTTCAGGATTTCCAATACAGAACATGAAAAAAAAAAAAAAGAAAATAAGGTGTGGCACAAAAGATGAGTAGGATCTGGTTCCTGGCTAAATCAGTCTTTCAAATCCATATTCTATCACATACACAACGTTTATCCTTGTGAGTCATTTCACTTCTTGCAGTGTTTTCTCATCTGTAAAATGGGAATATAATCAACCTCTGCTTGTGACTCTCCTTGAGGATTAAACTGATTATACTGTGAAACCCTTTGGCCCCGCAAAACAGTGCTGATAGTCCACACCATTAATGACCTTGGGGCTTGGGTTATTGTCTTTCTAATGCTTTTGAGAGGTGTGCGTGAAAAGGAAGGGCACTAGACAGTTCAGGCGGTGGTGAGCAGGACAATAGCAGTTCTCATTTTTTGAGCATGTATAATATAGCGCCCCAAAAATGTGCTAATGGCTTTAGAATTTTTCCATCTAAACCTCATGGCATTATCTAGGAAACTGGCATAATCATCCACTTCACTGATGAGGAAAAACATTAAGAAATTTGCCAAAAGTAAAACGACATATAAGCAGCAAAAGTTGTCAGACTTTGCTGGAAACAGTTGGCATTCAGAGTTCTTGAACTTAACCTATGACGTACAAAATTTAGTCTGTGGTTTGGGCAGACCGGCCGCCAACGGATACAATCCCACAGAGGCGCGAATGCGATAGCTGGAGGTCACCTAAGATCGCCCAAGCTAGCCGCGTCCGCGCACAGGTGAGGGCAGAGACCCAGGAGGTGCAGAGCCTGCCCAAGGTCGACCCAGCACGGCAACTTAATCCCCCAACGGGGCTCCACTCCATTTCCCCGCCCTCCTCAGCTGCGCCATGGGTCGAGGGCCGGAGGGAGCGAGAACAGGGGTACCCCTCAGCCCGGCTCACCATTGAGGCCCACGGAGGCGACCAAAGGCCGGCTTGCGGCCTGGCCACTCAGCGACTCCCGGCACAAGAAGGGCCGCTTCACGTCCAGCACTGGCGGCTCCGGGGTGGCGGGCAATGAAGCCTGCACCAGAGGCCGCAACGCGCCCGCCACCCCGCGGGACGTGGCCGATAGGACGGGCGCGAACGGGCCCGAACGGGCGGCCACCGACAACATGGCGACAGCTGCTCCAAACGCCGAGCCGGTCACAGGAACGACCTTCCGCCGCGGCGCAGGCGCGAGAAAGGGCAGGAGGCGCGCGATCCGTGACGTCAGCGCGCCGGCCTAAGCGGTGGCCCCACTGAGGGGTGGGGGGTGCAGCGCACCGAGAGGAGCTGCGTCAGAGGCGGGACTATGAGCATACGCTAAGGGCGGAAGGGGCGGGGCGGAGCTGGGCGGGAAGGTGTGGGTGCCGCCCTATCTATCCTCTCCAGGCACCTCTTGACGTGTAAACTGGTATCTGCTGGGAGGAAGGCGAGCAAAGGAGGCCCGCAGGAGTCGCCCCGTGAGTCCACTTTGGGTCCCTCAGAGTAAAAACTTCATCTGTAGGAAACTAGGGATAAGAATAAGTCATCATAATAGGTTAAGGATAATAGCAGTTCTTAACATATGTGCATATATAATGTTATACGTATATATAAGGATATATGTTAGGGTGTATACATATATATTAGGTTATATGTACTTATGAAACCTAGAACATAGCCCAGCATACAGTGGCCACTATGTGTGTACTACTATAATGATGATTATTAGCACTATAGAACTAAAAAGTAAATTTTTAAAAGGCCGGGGATTTATGTGTGAAAGCTTAACAATAATAATGATAATGGTAATGGTTTATGTGTATTAAGCATTTACTATGCATAAGATTTTGTATTTTACCTTCATTCTTTCATTTATAGTCAATGTCCCTATGAGGCAACAGGTATTTTCCAATGAGGAAACCACTCTTGAGAAGAATTATGTGCCCAGGACTAGATAGCCAACAAAGGGTGACAGGGGTTAGTCTGGCTTTTGAGCTCTTAACCACCATCAGTTTCCCTAAGTGAGATTTTAGAGGATTCAGGGATGGGTCCCCAAATAATTTTCTATCACACGGTGAGAAACTGATTTCCTTTATAAAAAAAAAAGAAGTTTATTTTTGAGAGACAGAGATAGAGCAGGAGCAGGAGAGGGGCAGAGAGAGAGGGAGACACAGAATCTGAAGCAGGCTCCAGGCTCTAGGCTCTGAGCTGTCAGCACAGAGGTGGAAGGGGTTCCAACTCACAAACCGGGAGATTAGGATCTGAGCCGAAGTCAGACACTTAACCAACAGAGCCACCCAGGCACCCTGAATATTATTTCCTTCTTAATTCTCTTTCAATCCTTCTGATTACACCAATGAGAAAGTCCCAGTTTGGTGCTAATATATTGTTTTTTTTTTTTTTTAATTTTTTAATTTTTTTAATTTTTATTTATTTTTTTTTTACAAATAGTTTATTGTCAAATTAGTTTCCACATAACACTCGGTGCTCATCCCCACAAGTGCTAATGTATTGTTAATTGCTCTCTAACACTTGCTAACCTCCCCTTTAAGAGAATAGGCCTTGACTTCAAAGCCCTTGGGTAGTTGAAACAGCAGGTAGAAGATTTAATAATATTTTCTTTTCATGGTATTTATTTTGTCTCCTTACTGATTTTCCAATGACTCTAGTGAAGAAAACTTTTACATTTACTAAGGTCAAAATGAGTTAATTTAAATATTAAGTAAATGAAGTTTTTCTGTGCTGTGCATGGGCCCCGGGACCTTGGCAAGTTTCCTGACTCCTCTATGCTTTAGTTTCCTCACCTGTAAAATGTAGGTGGTAATGATGCCACCTAGAAGGAGTAAATGTACTAATATGTGTAACAGCACCTATAAGGGGCCCCACATGCTAAACATCAGGTTTGCTAGTATTGTGTTATTTGACATCTTCCTTCAATTCCTGCTGAGTCATTTGTATTCCTCTCTCTAGGTCCACAACACACTGACCACTTCCTCCTGGACACTTCTCAGGGTCTAAGTCTTGGGCATCGTTATTGCCCTAGGGACTCTGTGGTACTCTCAGCTTTGGAAGTGGCCTCCTCAGGGGCTGCCCTGACTTGGCTAGCCATTGGTCTGGCACTAGGCTAACCCCAGTAACAACCTTAAAGGTAAGAGTGGGTGCTTCCAGAGCAGCTACTACACCCCATACACAGTTTGAGTTCTTTACATGGAATAATGCACTTAATATCCACAACAGCCCTTTGAAGTGGGTAAGGGTAGGTGAGGATGGAAAAATAGAGGAAGGAGCCTTTACAAGACTCTGGGTTTAATCCTAGTTCTGCCACTCAGAAGATATAATCCTAAAATGAGTTGTATATAACCTCTGTGTATGCCTCAGTTTTCCTTCTATAAAATGAAGATAATAATAGTATTATCCCCAAAGGGTTATTTTAAGGAAGAATTGGACTAATGTATGTAAAGTACAGAGAACCGTGCCTGGCACACAGTAAGTGCTATGAAATGTCCATGATAACAATAAAAATAACTCTTCCCATTCTATACAGGAAGAAACTGAGATTCAAAGATGACAAATGAGGAGCACCTGGGGGGCTCAGTTGGTTAAGCATCTGACTTCGGCTTAGGTCATGATCTCCAGAGCCTGGAGCCTGTTTCAGATTCTGTGTCTCCCTCTCTCTCTGACTCTCCCCTGCTTATGCTCTCTCTCTCTCTCTCTCTCTNCTCTCTCTCTCTCTCTCTCTCTCTCTCTCTCTCTGTCTCTCTCTCAGAAGTAAGTAAAAAAACAAAAAAATTAAAAAATAAATAAACATTAAAAAATTAAAGAAAACACAAAAAACAAAGATGACCTACCAGAAGACACGTCATTTTCTTCAGCCCTACTGAGATATAATTGACACACAGGTGTAAATTTAAGGTGTATAATGTATTGACTTGATACACTTGTATATTGCAACTTGGTTACCACCATAGTGTTAGCTAACACCCTAGTCACACCATAGAATTATCATTTCTTTTTTGTGGTGAGAACACTTAACAATCTAGTTTCTTGGCAACTTTTAGATACCTATGTATTATTGTTAACTACAGTCACCATGCTGTATGTTAGATCTCCAGAACTTACTCATCTTAGAACTAGAAGTTTGGACCCTTTGACTGATATCTCCCCATCTCCCAAAGCCCCAGTCCCTGGTAACCACCACTCTAATCTGTGTTTGTCTGAGTTCTACTTCTTTTTATTCAATATATAAGTGAGATCATATAGTATTTAACTTTCTCTATCTGAATTCTTTCACTGATCATAATGCCTTCTGTTTGTCCATGTTGTCCCAAATGGCAGGATTTCCTTCTTTCTTCTGGCTGAATAATATTCAGTCCAATGTAGGTACCATATCTTCTTTTTCCATTCATCCATTAACAGACATTTAGGTTGTTTCCATATCTTGGCTATTGTGAATATTGCTGTAATGAACATACCAGTGCCCATATCTCTTTAAATCCTGTTTTCATTTCCTTTCGATATATACCCAGAATTAGAATTGCTGGATCATATGGTAATTCTACTTTTAATTTATTGAGGAACCTCCATACTGTTTTCCATACTGGCTATACCAAGTTACATTCCCACCAGCAGTGCACAAGGGGTCCCTTTTCTCCATCCTCACCAGCATTTGTTATATACCTTATTTTTTTGATAATAACCATTCTAACAGATGTGACATGATATCTCACTGTGGTTTTGATTTGCGTTTTCCTTATTAGTAATGTTGAGCAACATGTGCCTCCTGACATTTGTGTGTCTTTTTTGAAAAAATACCTATTCAATAAATAAAAATGTTTATTTATTTTGAGAAAGGGAGAGTGAAAGCAAGTGGGGGAGGGGAGAGAAAGAATCCCAAGCAGGCCCCCTGCTGTCAGCGAACAGCCCAGTGTGGGGCTCAGTCTTACTAACTATGAGATTATGACCTGAGCCTAAATGAAGAGTCAGACAGTTAACTGACTGAGCCATCCAAATGCCTCCCCCTCCCCCGCCCATTTTTTAATCAGATTGTTTATTTTGTTGATATTGAGTTGTATGAACTCTGTATATATTTTGACTCTTAATCTCTTATCTGACATCTGATTTGCAAAGATCTTTGCCCATTCTTTTTTAAATGTTTATTTTTGAGAGAGAGAAAGACAGAGTGTGAGTGGGGGAGGGAGAGAAAAAGAGGGAGACAAGAATCCAAAGCAGGTTCCAGACTCTGAGCTGTCAACACAAAGCCCGCTGTGGGGCTTAAACTCACACACCATGAGATCATGACCTGTGCTAAAGTTAACCAACTGAGCTACCCGGGCGCCCCAGTCCTCTCCCATTCTAATGGTTGCTTTTTTATTTGTTAATGGTTTTCTTTGCTGTGCAGAAGACTTTTAATCTGACATACTCTCACTTATTAAGTTTTTTTTTGTTGCTTGTGCTTTTGGTATCATATCCAAAAAATTATTGGCAAGGCCAAAGTCAAAGAGCTTTTCCCCTATGTTTGCTTCTAGGAGTTTATAGTTTCTCGTCCTATGCTTAAGCCTTTTACCCATTTTGAGTTAATTTTTATGAGTGGTGTAAGTAGGGGTTCAATTTTGTTCTCCATGTGGTCATCCTGTTTTCCCAACACCATATATTAAAGACAGAATCCTTTCTCCCTTTTAATATTCATGCCTCCCTTGCTAAATATTAGTTAACCATATGTGTTAGGGTTTATTTCTGGGCTCTTGTGTTTCAGTCTTATTAAATTTGCTAAGACTTGCCTTGTGACTTTTCATATGATCTAAGCTGGAGAATGTTCCATGTGCAATGATGTATGCATTATTTTTCTTAATGGTGTCCCATAGTCCTGTGGCTTTCTTTGTTCCTTTAGTCTCTCAAATTTTTGCTCCTCTGATTGGATAATCTCAATTCATCTGTCTTCTGGCTCATTGATTCCTTCTTCTGCTTCGTCAAGTCTGCTGTTAAAGCTTTCTATTCAGTTTTTCTGTTCAGTCATTGTATTCTTCAGCTACAAAATTTCTGTTTGGTTCTTTTTTTATGTTTTCTATCTCTTTTTTTTCTTCTCATTTTGTTCTTGTATTGTTTTCTTGTATCATTAACTTGTATGTCTGTGTTCTCTGGCAGCTCTCTAGACATCTATTGAATAATTATTTTGAATTCTTCATTGCACAATTCTTGGATCTCCATGCCCTTGGGGCCAGTTACTGGAGGTTTACTGTATTCCTTTGGGGAAGTCATGTTTCCCTGATGGGTTATTTGTGTTGCCTTGCATTGGTGTCTGTGCATTTGAAGAAGCAGTCACCTCTTCCAGGTTTTGTGGAATGATTTCAGTAAAGGAAGACTTTTATCTGTGAGTGGGGGAACATATTGTGACCCTGGTCAAATGATGCAGGAAAGCAAGTTTGGAGGCATGTGGTGGCACCAGGTTTGGGGGTGCATGTTGTATTTTTTGGCTCAGGGCTCCAAAAACATCAACAAATTTGTGGTCCTTGATGAACACTGTGGAGGATCACAGTCACTGCAAGGGCTGTTGGGATCCTTGGTAGCACCACCAAGTTCAGTAGACAGGCACCGTGGCAGGCAGTAGTGGTACCAGAGTCAGGCATGCACACACTGGTATGTGGTGGCCAACCACAGGTGCCTATTTAGTGGCAGGGGCCAGTTTCAGACACATAACATAGTGGTGAGAGTCAAGACAGGCAGCAAGGGCCAGAGCCAACTCTGGGCTCCCTGGTAGCTGGTGGGGTACTGGCTGTTGGCACACTCTCCTGTGGCTGTGGTCTCCCCTAGGCATGAGCACTGCAGAGAGGCTGGTGATGGGCAGCAGGTCAATTGCGTGAATGCACAGCTGGAGGGGATGGCCCCAAGCACACATGGTCGGCAGTCAGCCACAAGGGTCTAGGCTGGCATCTTGCTCTTGGACAGCCTCAGAGGCCTGAGCTGGCTGCCCCCATGCAGTTCTTGAGCTCCAGTCAGGATTGGGGAGTGGGGTGGGAGGAACTCAGGCAGCTGGTGAATACCTGTGGAACAAAGTCTGGTGAAATCTTCAGGGCCCCCACAGCAGCTCTGCTGGCCATTTATTTCTTCAATGGAGAAATCTGTGATTGTCTGCAGAGCAGGTCATTGTGAAGCACTGCTGCTCCTGCTACATGGCTGTTACTGGAAGCCCCTGTTTTTCTTCCCTGGTCCTAACTGTCTGTGTTCATTTCCACTCTACCAGTCAGAAGCAGGACCTCAGTGAAGTGCCCCTGAAAGTCTGGGGAAGTCAGTGGTTCACCCTGCTCTCCCTTTCCTGGCACGGAGAACTCTTTCTAGTTGGGACATTTTCTCTTGGCACTGAGCAATGCTTAGGGGATGGGTTAATTTAAGTAAAATGAAGCTTACTTCTCTTTTTATGCAGAACTTCTCAGGTTTTTTGTTTACTATGTTGCCAAAGTTTCTTAAGTGGACCAGCTGTTCTAGAGCTGTATTTGTTTGAGATCACTTTCTAATTGCTAATCTTGTGGGGGAGGCAGAGACTGAAGTCTCCTGTGTTGTCATTTTGATAACATCACTCCCTCAAAGACACATCATCGATAAGTAAAAGAGCCCATTTGTTCTGGGTTCCAGTCCAGAGTTGTAGCAGGGAAGGGGGTAACTCTGTGGCTGAATATCGGTCCTCTCACAGAAGATGGAGGCTAGAATCCAGGAATGGCATGCATATTGGAAGTTGGACCTATGTAGATCATCCAGTTGCTAGTTTTTTGTTTTGTTTTGTTTTTAACTGGATGGGCTGTTAGCTTTCATGCTTCAGCTTCTCTTTCCTTGAATCTACATCTTGATGGGCTCTAGAGGCAAACAACCTGGTTTGCATACTAGCTCTGCACCTTATAGTTGTGTGACTTTGGGCAATGCTGAGCTTCAGATTCCTCATCTGTAAAATAGGGATAAAAATGAAATTGCTATGCGGAATAAAAGAAATGAAGCAAATAAAGTACTTAGTCTTTGGTACACAGCAAGAGCCTCGTTAAGTGTTATTTTTTATAAATCAGCGTGTGGGAGGGAATTTGGGGTATGGGGGAAATAGCCAGGGACTGAGAAATGTAAATATTTGGTAAACTTCTCAGTCCCCAGGAACACTGAAGAGCAAAATGTATGAAAGAAGCAGGAAGGAGGAGACAAGAAACAAAGTCCTCTTTTTAACAAATGAATGTCTTGTTTAAAGCAGAGGTCAGAGGTCAAGACTGGACACCCACATTCTCCTCCCCTCCTCAGTCCTTCCCAGATAAAGGAACCAACATGAGTTCCCTCCCTGTCCCACAGGTAGAGTTGTCCCACAAAGAAAACTTTTATTTGCAGGAAATGAGATCATGGGGAATGGCTTCCATAGTCATGACTCCCCCCAGAGAGGGTAGATGGATTCCTTTTGTTTAGGGTTAGGATGAATATTTATAGGGAAGCCTTGTCATCCTATGTAGAGATGGGTGTAAGGTCACACATGCACAGGAAAGAAACATGCCTATACATACAATGTATGTTATGTAAATGAGGCTGAGCCGCCTCCTTGGGCAAAGATTTTACTATTATAGTTAATATTATAATAAGGCAAAGGTAATTGTAGGTCACTCCATGGTGCATCTGCACAGACAGCTTTAATTCAAAGGGTCTGGGTGGTCTGGGCCTGAGGGAAGTCTTTTTTAAATTTTTTTTTTTTTTAATGTTTTTTATTTATTTCTAGGAGAGAGAGAGAGAGACAGCCTGAGCAGGGGAGGGTCAGAGAGAGAGAGGGAGTCACAGACTGAAACAGGCTCCAGGCTCTGAGCTGGCAGTCAGCACAGAGCCCGACGCGGGGCTCGAACCCACGAACCGCGAGATCATGACCTAAGTGAAAGTCGGACGCTTAACCGACTAAGCCACCCAGGCGCCCCGGGCCTGAGGGAAGTCTTATCAGGGCAGTCACCTTCATCTGGAGGGGTTTTAGGCCTCATTTGCAGGAGTCAAGAGGAAAGCCAAAAGAAGAGCTTAGGGAAAAATTTAAGACAAAGGTTAGTGAATACAAGCAGGTGGGCAGTAAAGGCCAGGTCTTGGGGTCCAGCTGGTGACAATATGGTATACCCAGTAATATAAACCCCAAAATTATTTGCTAGCATTTACAAGTTCTGAGTGTTTCTACCTACCCAGTGTAATAGACAGAATAATGCCCCCCTCCCCCCATACACTAAAGATGTGTGTGTCCTAATCCCTGGGATCTGGGAATATGTTACTTTACCTGGCAAAAGGATTTTAAAGATGGGATTAAGCGTCTCATGATGGGGAGATTATCCTGGATTGTTTGGATGGACCCAATGTAATCACAGGGTTCTTATCAGCGAGTAGCAGATCAGAGAGAGGAGACCTATGCTATTGACTGAAGATGGAGGAATGGTGCCTGGCGCCAGGGAGTTGGGGCAGCCTCTGGAAGCTGGGAAAAGCAAGGGAACAGATTGTCCCTTAGAGCCTCCAGAAGTAATAGCACTGTGGACCCACTTTAAACTTCTGACCTCCAGAATTGTAAAATAATAAATTTGTGTAGTTTTTTTTTTTTTTTTAATGTTTTTTATTTATTTCTAGGAGAGAGAGAGAGAGACAGCCTGAGCAGGGGAGGGTCAGAGAGAGAGAGGGAGTCACAGACTGAAACAGGCTCCAGGCTCTGAGCTGGCAGTCAGCACAGAGCCCGACGCGGGGCTCGAACCCACGAACCGCGAGATCATGACCCGAGCGAAAGTCGGACGCTTAACCAACTACGCCACCCGGGCGCCCCTAAATTTGTGTAGTTTTAAACCACTAAGTTTGTGGTAATTTGTTACAGTGGCAATAAGAAGCTGACACACACATGTACACACACAAAAAACCTGGAAGATCTAACCACATTAGTCCTAGATCCTCACATAGAAAATCAGTGAGGTAAGGACTTGCTTGCCACTTGGGGTTCTTCCTCACCTTATCTGCTTCACTGAGTTACATCACCTCCTATCTGCTGAGGTCTCTGAGTGTGGGACCACAGGTTTATACAATTCCATGAACAAACCTGATCTGTTGCCAAGAATAGTAGTATGTCAAAACACAGGGGACTCTTCGTGTTCCACGTCTGTGCATTGTATTTTGAGATGTGCCGTGTTCCCTATAGTCTTGATGTTTCCATCTGGGCATTGGGTGTGTATGTGTGGAGCCTGGAAGGGGAGTGTGTTCTAAGAAGACTGTGGAGCCTGGAAGGGGAGTGTGTTCTAAGAAGACTGTGCTTGGATGCTCCAAAGATCGTCTTTGGAACATACTTCTAACCCAGTCGTTCTGCCTATGATCCTGGATAATGTGCAGAGCCAGTGAGCCGCCTGTGGCCTGCCTCAGGAGACACGCCTCCTCAGCCACTTTCATCTCACCTTGTGCCTAAATGGAAAGCCAATCAGCCTCCCACTGAAGGGCCCCCACGTCTGTCTCCTGTTTCCACGCCATTACCCCGGGAGATGCCTGGCTTCGCATTTCCAGTTGCAGTTGCTGTGACAGTTTCGGCCTCTCCCTTCAGCCCACGTCTCTCGCTTGAGCAGCGAGATGCGAAGACTGACAGCCACTTGAGAACTGCACAGACTGTCCCCAATTTAAGCCATTTAAAATGCATTTCTGTTCCATAAAATCCGTTTCCATAATTCTGTGTCCCTAACTCTTTGAAAGATGGTAACCCTAGGGAGGAGAAGAAATTAGCCAGGGAGGAGAAGTTCAGACGTGCTAATATTTTAATCGCTCGTTCCTTTAACACATTAGTCACATTCATTAAGTATGATTAATTTTCAGGCTTTGTTGAAAACCATATCAATTTTCCTATCAGCCACACATCCATCTTTTGCCTAGCAAGCTGCTACACTAATACCAAAAACTACTCCCTTCTTTTTTATACCTTCATTGTATTATGTGCCCCCTGAAAAATTTATTAAGTTAATTAAACTCATGTATATAGAATGCTTGCTAAGAACTCAGGCTCCTGAGTGAGGCTGACAAGACTTGGTCCCAACTCCACTTGCCTGAGTCACTTGGCAAAGCTACTGAACTTATCTGAGAATAGAGATAAGAATAGTTATCTCAGAGTTTTGTTGTCAAGATGAAATAAGTTTTGAGAATTGCTCAGTAAGTTAATATTATTGTAATTAGGGGCTCTTGGAGTCTCATTCATTTAAAAGATTTTTACCCAGTGACTTCTATATACCAGGCAATGCTATATGCCCACTGCTGGCAGTACAGCAGTGAACAAAATAAATAAAAGTGTCTGGCCTTTAGGACCTTACATTCTAGGTGCGGGGAGTGTAGACCACAAACATACCAGATGGTGATGTGTTCTACAGAGAAGAAGAAACAAGATGAGGGGAAGAGAGGACTGAGATGATGGGAGATGGCTGAAGGGATCTGAATCACCTAGTTAGAAGCTATGTACCTTAGAAAAAATGTGATTCATGTATCCATCCACTGAATGAATGTTGAAAAGCTATTAGATACTAAGAAACTGGCTAAAGCTGGGGACTCAGGCACCAACCTGGAAAGGCTCATGGTTTCAAGGGAAACAATCATGCTGTGTGCCCAGTTGCATCACACGCAATAAGACACCACCAGATTTAGAGACTAAGGCCAAGGAACAAAGCCTCCATGGCAGAGCATGATAAAACAGGAGGGGCCAAAGGATGCTGCCCTGAGAAGGGGGTATGTGAGTGTAGCCATGAAGATGCAGGGGGAGGAGGCAGGTAGAAAATCAAGTATAGCAGGTGTTGCAAGGTTCTGTCTGTATGCCTTCCCCAGACCTCCAGGTGCCAGCCCCTGAATCTCTCTGCCTGAAATCTCTTTCTTGGCCAGCCCGCTCTACCCCCAGCAGCCTTCCAACAATGGCTAACAGCTTCTTCACTAGCTTCCTTTGGATGGGTAACTCTGACTGTTTGTTCTACACTGTCCCCCAGCGGTCCCATGTAGGATTCAGCCCCAGTTGCCCATGGTGGCAGTTGCCCATGGTGGTAACTGGCTTGATAACACTACTGGCTGACTTCCCTGTTTTTGTCTCGCTTTTTCCCTTTTCTAATGGTGTTCTCTCTGCTTCCCAGATAAACATCATGCTCTCAGATTGTCTCAGGGTCTGCTTCCGGGAGCAGGGGAGCAGGCAGAGAGGACGTCACATGTCTCACAGGCACTGCACTGCCTGAAGGCAGTGGTATAAGGAAGAGTGCAGAATAGAAGCTATGTGGGAGGGAAGAGGCTCCTGGAGGTGGAGACTGGGGCCTTTTTTTTTTTTAATGTTGTGTAACAAATAGCACAAACATAGCCATTCAAAACAATGTCCATTTATTATCTCAGTTTCTCTGGGTCAGTAGTTCAGCGTGGCTCATTTGGGTCCTCTGCTCAGAGTCTCAGCTGGCTATATTCAAGGTGTCAGTCAGGGCTGTGTGGTCTCACCTGAGGCCCACAGTCCTTTTCCAAGCTCACTCAAAGTGGCAGAACCTAGTTCCTTGTGGTTGGACTGAGGCCCTCAGTACCTAGAAGCCACAACAGTTCCCTGCCACATAGCCCTCTCTACAACATGGCAACTGTTCCTTCAAGACCAGCAGGAGAATCTGTCTTTGGATCTCTGACCTCTTCCATTCCCAACCTCTAGACCCTCTTTGACAAGGCCTCACCTGATTAGGTCAGGCCTGCCCACCATCAAAGGGAACAGAGCATACAGGAGGTCTATACCAGGGGTGTGAATCTTGGGGCCGTCTGAGAGTTCTGCCTATTACAGCTTCCCATCATGAAGAGCCATGCATACAGCACGCAGCAGCATGGGATGGTGCTGTCTCATTTCTCACCTGCTCGCCTTGAGCTCCTCAATGATTCCATAAGACCTCAGTGTAAAAGGTGAGCAAATGTGTTCTCACATGGGAGCACTAGGCATATGGCGTCTTCTATGTCTCATGTGTCATGTTAGGGCTTCTTCCCCACTCCCTGCAGAGTGAGAAGAACCTTGGAAGAGACGGATTTAGGGTAAACTTTTTTCATAGAGAATTAACACATTTTCTGGAGGGAAGAGAGTAGTCAGAGAGGTGGGGCATAAGTGAACAGATAAGCTGAAAAAACCTTTGGCAGCCTGTAGAGGACAAAGAAGGTGTTAAAGTACAGTGTCTCCCTCCTACCCAGCATCTCCTGCCTTTGCCCCAGGGTATCAGAGCTCTGTACCTTCTATCATCTTGCTTCTAAGCATGAAGTTCTAGACTCACTCAGCTTGGACTCAACTCAAAACTTCTGTGGAAACTTTGCCCATGACTCCAGAGAAGCTGAGATCCAGACTACTGCCTGGGTCCCATGTTTGCAGAAAAAGACCCAGGAGAGGCCCCTTCATCTTGGGGAGGACTAGGCTCCTTGAGACTCCAAGACATTCCCGAGGCCTTGAATGTGAAGTGGGAAGGAGGCTCAGGAACTCCTCAGGAACTCAGGCCTCCAGAGCCCCTGCAGGATCTGCACGACACAATTACAAGGTCATTATTTCTCTTTCACGATGATGCTCAGAAAACATTGGGAAGTTAAGTCAAACCACCAGTTGTCCAGCGTTGACACTGGAATAATAAATTCACAGGTTAAATAAGAAATTTTACTTGTGCTAATTTCAAAATTGATGGACACAGGAAAGCAGATTGTTCAGTGCTTGGTATTTAATTTTTATTTCAAGGTAATCATAAAGGCAGCACCCTTTTGTACATCCAAAAGCCCTTTCATCCTTAAATCTTGAGAGCACTTTAGCAAGCATACCAGGAATAAATTAAGTTGTAAAACCTCCATGAAAAAGATTAAAATTAAAATATAATTTTGAAGAACCACTTGAGTTTGTCCATTTACCTGTTTTGTAAGTACCTTTGCCTATTTTTCTTATAAATCTTTTTCACAAAATAAGGGATTTTGTGTGAAACACACAGCAAAGTGAAATAGTAAACCTCCAACATCTTAAGAAAAGCCCAAGTAGAATTAAACCTGCCTTCTGTGTCTAGGTGATGGTAATTAAACCGGATCTCCCATAATGAGGTGTGCTGATTAATAAATTATTTGATTACCAAGTATACCTGCAATCAATACAATTGCCTAAAAGCTCTGAATTAGAAATTGTGCAATAAAATATAATTGAAAGGTATTAAGAATTGGTAGTTTTAATTACAAGGAATGATTAATTGACCATTTGGACAGTATTGATCTACAACTTATTTAATTCTTTGCAATTTGATTTGTCAAATTTGAATCCATATAACTGATGATTGTCCTATTAATGTAGAGCTGGAAGGAATGGGGAAAATGAAAGATGAAAGGCTAGAACCATGGACCTGGTAACTCTGCACAATGGCCTGAGTTATTCCATTCCCTTGGTCCAGCCTTTGTTGGTGCTCACCTGCAGCACCCAATGTCCTCTCACACATCCCCTCTGGGTCTAGGTTCAGTGCAAGCTCTATGTGCCTGGGGAAGCCCTGGAAGGCTCAGGCAGACCTGGGGCAATGCCTAGCCTCTGCTTCTCATTCCATTTTTCCTGGTCCCAGCTTTCTCATGG